TTTTAAACAGGAGGAAGGGAGAAGGAGTACAAAGACATCTCTGCTATCATCTTAGATAAATTGCTGCTGGTATTAACCATCTAACTAAGACTAAAAAGACAGTAACAGAATGGTCTGATACTGTGGGGGAGCTCTAATAAGTGGTTAGATCAATCAGTTTCTCAACAGAGCCTTGACAAGTTTCTGATTTACTGGAATAAGCCTGTTTCCAGCTGTTAATAGTCTAAAAGATTTTTACGTTTGACAAGAAAAAACTCAGCCTGAATTGCCATTGCCAGGACTTCCTTCTTGATTATGGTAAAAGCAGTCTATTTCTTCCCTACAGAAATGGTCATCTTTTCAATCATTTTTAGTTCTTTCCTTTACTTGTTCAAGGGGGCAAAACCAAAAATAGCAAAGTTATCAGCGACTGTTCATGGAAGCGAGAGTAACGGAATTGAAACTGCTGAGCGTGAGTTAGTGCACCAGTGGTCAAGCTTAATGTTACACTTGATTACTTCTTATTAATCTCTTTTTAAGATTAATGTGTCTTAGATGTCCAGATGTGAATGTGTGATAATTATGTGCAGCTGAAAAGCAGATGTTTCTACCAACTAAATGAAACTTCATCACATACACACAGGGAAGGGAAGCAGTACTGAAAATCATGACACCAACAGTGAAAGCAGAAGAAGGAGACTGCTGTTTGATGAAGAATTTGAAATATTTCTTTGACAAACAAAGCCACTGCAGTATTGTCGCCGGAGGAATATATTTATATTTTTCTGAGATGAGTTGTAAAACTCCCACTCAGTTTGGTTTGAGAAGGAATTGAGCCATGCTATTTTTTCACAAATACAATAATTCAGCTATTTTTGGTTTAAATTAGAGTGGTGTCAAGACTTATATATGCTGATTGGTGAGAACTGGATAGTGGTGTTTCACAGAATGATGATTGCCTGGTGAATAGTGTGTTCCAGCTGCAGCACTGCCTGCCTGCTGACATATTCCTTATTAGAAAAGAAGTGTGATAAATAATTCTTATGCCTATGTGACTTCAGCCAATGATTTTTGTACACTGAAGGAATACATAGCTTTTCTAAATGACCCTTTATTCTGCAGCTGTGTGAGGCTGAGTGTAATCAAGAAAATCATACTATATATAGATGCAGGTTTAATACAATTAAATACTAGTTCTTACCTTCAAGTGATTCACAATCTTTCTTATGCAGATTTTTGTTCACTAAGAATAGTGGGCTTTAAATATTTACATGAATATTTGCCATGACTAATTTAAAAAATAAAAATATATAAAAATAAAAACCTCTTTATAAATAAGAATTAATGACAACAAATCTTCCGTTTTGAAATTTGGTTGGTAATGACAAGATTCTGCTTTGAAGAATCTTGTCATTAGATTCTTCTGTCAAGAAGTGTAAAACTCTTCACTGAAAGGAAATCTTTGTCTCTATTTCTTTAATTCTGAAATTTCAGGCTTCCTAGCTTTCCATGGTAAAGTGTTTTCCTGTTGGATTTCAGAAGTTTCAGATATAGAGTGAATGGATACTGTGGGAAAACTACAGTTGAATATTGGAATGTGTTATACCCAAGTTGTCTTTCACAGTCCAGCTGGAATGAGGAGATGTTCGTAGTGGCTTCTGATTACTGGCAGAGAGCAAGACGCCAACTACTGCTGGTGTAGTTGGCTTCTCTGCTCTCTATAATGTCCACTGGAATTGGCTCTACTGGGAATAATCTCAATGGTAAAGTGAAAGATACAGTTGTAGGAATGGCTTTTATGAGGTCTTCTGGTGACTTCTACAGCCACATGTTAGAGATGCTCCTATAGAAAAATGTGAGAAAGTTTAACTTTTGCTGTGACCGTTTTGCTATTCCCTGCATAAATGGAGAAGTTCACTCTTTGATGCTGGGATAACTTCAAAAACACATCTAAAGGCAGTGGGTTGATTTCTTTCCCCTTCCTCAAAACAAAGTAGTTTAAATGGCTCTGGTGTTAATTTTTAGCCATTTCCGTGAATGTACAAATAAAGATTCTGCAATACTACTTTCTTAAGATACTGCTTTTCCTGCTTTGATGCAGATATAATAATATTTTTTTTTACCTGATTGTGGACACAGGGTAGCAGAAGACTGTCCTGGCTTTGCTGGTTCAGGCTTGAGTCTCAAGTGATAGTAATGCCTAATTACTTAATAAAGGACTTGGAAATCTCTGCTGACACAGCAGTAATCTTAGGAAAATCCAAAGCATGTAGACATGTACCACAACTGCTAACCACAGAGATTCAAAAGTTTTAAGTGAGGTTACAAAATATATGAGACAAGATTAAACCACCTTCTTAAAAATATGTCAAAGAAATTTTTACAGGATTATCATATTATCATGAGTGTGATACCCTTTTATACTCTCTCAATTTTACCTACAGATTTGTAACTTCAGAAGTCAGCCCTTCAACTTTCTGTGTACAGTTGCACAAAAAAAAAAAAAAATTAGGTTTTTTTTAATATTAAATTATATAATTTGCATGCTTTACTGTGCTTGAGCAGTTGCAGCAATACCTGCAACAATTTCATGTCCTCCCATAGCCTTTGTTTCTTAATCACAGTAAATTCATTAATATATACTAGTGATGATTTTTAAATAAAGCATGCAACATTTGATTGCTGAACTATAGCCTTAAAATCATAACTAGGTGAAATACTCTGAGCAGGAGATCCAGAACTCCTGACCTAACAAGATGGAAACATTTAAACAGGTTCTTGAATTGTGCTAACAAATACTGATGTAGATACCTTTAATGAATACTTCATCTAGGGAACCTTAATTGTCTCCATGTCTCCAATGAAACTTGAAGAATTTCTGATGTGCCTTTTAAAATTTATGTCACCTTTTTTAAAGAACCTATGTGTAGGTTGGCTTGTATGTTTTCTGACATGGGCAAAGGAGCATAAGTGGATAAAGACTTCCATTATCTCTTCCCCGTGTCGTTCAAGACATAAGAAAGCAGTTTTGATATTCCTTATGAGTTATTTATTTCTGGAACTTAGTGAGTTGTCTTTGAATGTTCTGTTTTCAGTCATATGAAGCATGGAAATGACCAGGGTCAAAGTCCAAAGAGAGGCATTAAAGAAATGTATTATAAATATTTATATGGGCATTTCTTAATATTTGCCTTAGTTGCTAACCTTAGAATGTATTGTAGCTTTAGTACCCTTCTGTAAGCTCATCCAGACCCTGTGGATCATATCTCTTACTTGATACTCTCTAGGGATTTTTAGCATGATTTTTAGTCCTGTACCGGACTTTGTTGTTGCCTCCTGGATGGGAAAACTGTGTTTCTCTCTCTGCATCCATATATTTGTTTCACTGCTGTTACTTGCTATGTTTGTTAAGTTGAGACCAAAATCCCTAACATTTAGTGCAGTCTAGGGAAAAAAAAAAAAAGTCAGATTGTGTTTTGCTGTATGCAAAACTCTATGATCATGAGTTAAATCTGCCGTTCTTTTTAGTTCTTTTTTTAACTCTTTTTTGCTGTTGTGGTTATTATTGTTTATGTCCTTAGGACCTCCAAATCTGGGCTTTTCCTACATTTTCTTAGGTTTTGTTCTAGGCAAAACAGAAAAACCTGCATAAAGTATGTGAGAGAAAACACTGACACCAGGAGAGAGGAAAATCCAGGTGAAGTCTGAAACAGGCTTGATTGGAGTGATTGCTGTGGTCTCTGGCAGTCAAAGAGCTTTTATGTAGTTGTAATCATCAGAGCATGGATGGGACTTTGAAGATAGCATTTTTCAGACATTTATGGTGAATATCTTACAAGTGTGAGAACTGGGAGTTTCCTGAGGTGCCTGTGTGCTTGCTCTGCATTCTTGGTCCGTCACGGAGACTGCAGTCCGGAAAGGAAGGAAACAGAAGCAGTTATTTCAGTTGTGGGAAGAAGATTGTTTACGGATTTGTGAACTAATTAAATAAATGGCCCTCTGTGACTGCTGTGAGACACAGATTTAGGGACTGGCTAAAATAATACCCTTGGGGAATCTAATAGCATTTAGTTAACCTGAGGCTTCACAGAAGCTGTAGGGGTGATTGCAACCTTGAGTCTGCAGTGGCTGCTGCAGAGAGTCTCTATGGCAGAGCTGCCCTGTCCAGGAAGCAAAATTCCACCCTACTTTAGGCTATTCGGCTTTTTTTTTTCCCCCACCGCAGAGAGAGTGGTGACAACAGGTTTTTAAAAGTAAAATGTATCTTCACCTTCCATTCGGTGTATGTGTCATGTGAAGACAAGATTATTAATCTAAACTTGGCAGTTTTTGGAAGGAGCAAGTGAACATATTCTACTATAATATTGAAACTAAGTCAAGAAATGGCACATTATGAAATTTCACGTAATAGCTGACTAGACACTAAAGGGAGTTTTTGCTATATTTAAGATAAACATCTTTTGATGGTGAGAAATACAATGGCATACATTTTATTTACCTTGAACTTGTGGAAGGAGAGGGAAGACCATAGGTTGTCTAAGTCAGCATGTATGTGTTCATTTAGGATTGGATTTCGGATCATAGCATTGCACTCAGGCCAAGGAGATGAAGATGTACTCTGCTGTCTGGTTGTGCACGCAATGTGTTCTGACTCTCATATTTGTTTCAAACCACAGCAACTGTGGTATTGTGGTGCCTTATGCTCCTGCAGAGTATTACCAGGACTTGTACCCCTGGTGAAGAAGTTATAATAAAAACAAAGAGTTTTCTGCTACTTTACAGTAATAAACAAATACTGAAATATAAACCATTCCTACTACTGGTGTTATTTCTATATCTTCTGATTCATTACTGCTCATGTAATTGTATCTGAGTTATATTTAGTTCCTTACAGCTGCTTTTAAAATGAGATTGTATACAAAAATGGTTGTATGGACCAGTTAATGCATTTTTTTTTCTGAGAGCACAATTGTTTAACAAATGTTTTCACTATAAAGAAATTGTTTTCTTCTTCTTTTCAGATACCATGACCAACAGGATGTTACTAGCAATTTCCTTGGAGCAATGTGGTTGATTTCAATAACTTTTCTATCCATTGGATATGGGGATATGGTACCAAATACATACTGTGGAAAAGGGGTCTGTTTACTTACTGGAATCATGGTGAGTGAATTTGTTAATTGGATATGAGATTGTGTTTGCTGTTAATTAATTTGAAATTAAGCCCAAAACTTCTGGTAGCCATAAAGAAATACTTATCTTCTGTCTTGTGGAGTGTATACATAATTAGACCATACCTATAGTCTCTCATTCCTAGTAATAAAATGGAGTTTTCTTCTTTTTAAGCAAAAATTTGGTAGCTGTGCAATAAAATACAGAGAAACAAATTGCACCCTGACATAATTCATAGTTTCAGAAATCTCAATAAAGTCTTTCATTAAATGTAAAGGTATCATATCATCTTGATCATCTTTGGGTATGTGTAATTGGACCAGTACTAATAATGGCTCTTCAGTTATGAATTTTGTTTCTTAAAATTAATCACAAAGAGACATAATGGTGGCAAAATTCTTAAAATTCTTTTGTTTGAGCATAGTTTTCTACTCTATTTCTTGTAAGTCTAATAACATATTATTCATAACAGTCCATTGCTTTAAGTGGAATTATGTTATGCAAATTGCACAATAATATCTTTTACTACCATTGATATCATGCAGCAGTTGTTAGGTTAGGCATGCTCAATATATATTTATTAAGTGTATTTCATGTCTGGTTTTAATTTGTTGTTTGGTCATAGTTGGGCAGGGAGTAAAGCAATATATTGTAATGCTGGGAAAATTTACAAATATCTACAGTAAATTAGATGCAAACAAGTTCTGGACTCTGCCACTCTTATTTATACCAGCTTCTGTGTAAATGTCCCTGTGAATAAGAAAGACTGAATGATTGTCATGTGTGCGCAGTATACAACAGTGAGATACATACTTGCTTCTGAATTTTTGCCATTAATTATAAGTCATGCATGTATAAGTAATCTGGCTCTGTTAAAACAGCTATATTGGGATTATGGCTGAAAGAAAATTATATCAAAGTGTTGCTCCTTTTGAGCAGATAGGGTGATAGAGTATTTGTTTATAATAAGTGTATGTTTTATGTCCAGAGAGGAAAAAAACCTTTTTTTTTTTTTTTTTTGTAAGGTTTGAGGGGTTTTTTGACAAATGCTTCAAAAATATTTTAAAAAAACCTGATAGCTTTCAATTCATTGACCATTATTGACAAAGATTAATAAAGATTTCTAGTATATTTTGCAAAAGGTGGTAAATACATATTGAGTTTGCAGTGGAGGTGAAAGGTACAGGCTAAAAGCAGGGGGAGGACTCACAGGGCTTTTTTAAAGGCTGTTGGCTGAGCTCAAATCTGCCATCTTCTGGGGTGTTTGCCTTTGCTCCTTTCTGTGTTGGATACTGATGCCAGAGAGAATGAAATGTGCTCATAAATTCACAAGGAAAAAGAGATGGAGAAGCAGTGTTTATTGACACCTTGCAGGGCAAGGATTGCAGAATAGAATCCTCATACAAAGTCACTTCCACTGCTTTCATGGAAGTATGGATTTATACATACCATTTTCACACATTGGCATCTCTTTTTCACATCTGGTAGACTTGTAAAATGTATGGATGAAACTTTCATTTCTCTTATTGGGTTTTCTTAGTGATTATAGGTTCTGCAGCTGTTTTGGATCAGGATATCATGGTAATGAATTTGGGATAAACATCTATAGAGACAGAAAGCATTCTTAACAAGAAAATGAGCCAAGTAGCTGCTGTGCTGTGATAGGTAAAAGAATAGAAAGCCTAACCACTAATTACATTAAAATAATCTTTGAGATAAAATAACATGGAGCAATGAGAAAAAGTCAGATGCTGAATTACTTTGGGGTTTTTGGGGCTTGTGTTTTGTTTTGTTTTGTTTTTATAAAGGACCCGAGGAAATATGGCACAGTAAACATAATAATGAACTCTCTTCTAGCCTAACCTGTAATACCAGAAAGTTTCCAGATCTTGAATATCGTTCTTTAAAAGCAATTACTCTTCTGAAACTTGTACAGTAACTAATTAATGTTTGTTGTGGAAAATATAAAATCCTAAAAGAACAGACCTAGTGATTTTTATTTCAATAGGAGCAATTGATCTAATTAAAAGACACACAAAGGTAATCGTTGAATGGATGTAGTAAAATAAAAACATAAATTTGGTTTTAAGAAATAAAGTGTAATTCCCTAGCATCTGAAGCAGTAAATGCATTGGATTACTGTGATCAATGCCAAATACTGCTGAGTGTTTGCTTTTGGGTAAGGTCCCTATTAAAATGGATGGAAGGGGGAATAAATAGAAATACTTGTGAGTACAAGAGTAGTTACACAGAAAACTGAAGAATTAATATTGGCTCTGTGGAACTGGTGGCTCAAGGAAGCCTACTTTGGTGTCTTGATTCCTATGAAGGAAAAACCCTGGTGCCGTGTCTATCCTCCCACTTCTGCCCCAGGAATAGCTTTCTGTGCAATGGAAATGGGAGTGCTCAGGGGGTACAAGGCAGTGAACTCTGCCTTGTACTCCAGCCTGAGAAGTGGACTTTGTGCAGTCCGCTGGTGGCAGCAAGTTGTGTTGGTGATTGACATTGTAACTACTGCTGTCTTAGTCTCTGATGTAAAGTGACATCTTTTAAACTCTATACTCCAGCCTGAGAAGTGGACTTTGTGCAGTCCGCTGGTGGCAGCAAGTTGTGTTGGTGATTGACATTGTAACTACTGCTGTCTTAGTCTCTGATCTTTTAAACTCTACAAGTGCACACTGCTGCAAAATAGGAAAATCTTTACACATATCAAATGGAAGAATGCCTTGAGAATTGTTGAGAGTAAGACAGCAAAGAAGTTTGATTAATGTATTAGAGAAACTGGGGAAAAAACCAAAATAAAACAAACAAAAAAAAACAACAACAAAAAAAACCACCTGTGAACAAAAAAGGCAAACAGTGAAAAAATATGAACAATTTACATTTTGATCTTGCAAAGCACTTAAATGTATGAAACTTTCATAAAAATACTGTCACAATGTGTTACAAAGAGGAGCCAATGCAGAGAAGTTTTACAATCAAGCAAGTGAAACTGAACTGGATGCCTCAACTCAATTACCAGTCTGTGTTTTTCCAATGAGACTTTACTAAGCGGCAGTAGTAGACTGTGGGCCAGGTGGACTATAAATGTATTCTCTGCCCCCTGTGTACATTAGGTAGGTCTGGAAGAGTGTGTTGGATGGACACACATACAGCTGCTGTCACTGTTCTCAGAACGGGATAGGGAGGAGATGTGGAGACCTGTGGCATCCTTGCCATGCTGTGCAGCTTGTTGGGGTACTGTATTTGCATGTGTTTTATGCCTGCTGAAGCTGCCATGCCAGGTTGTCAGTGCCCACCCAGGCAGATCTCTCAGATGCTCATCAGCAAGGTGATCTCAACTGCAGGTGGAGCAATTTCCTTGTATGGTTTCTAAGTGGAATTTAGAAACCATACAAGGTTTCTAAGAAACCGTACAAGGTTGCTGGTTGTGTAGGCAGCACTTCCACCTTCCTAATGGCTTTTTGCATCTAGGGCCTTGGAGTGGTTTGCAAAATTTTCCCTGCTTTATAAGGACATTAATGAAGTTAGCAAAAATTTAAAGGTCTGTAGAAATTGGTAAGGAGGAGTGTGAGAAGATATGGAAAGGTGCATAATTATGGACTGTGAGATTGATAACTTTTGCAGACCTTTTTAAGCTGTTGCAGTTACGCAAGATAAAGCAATGGCAATTCATTCTTCTGCCTGCAAATACATGGACCTGTTATGAGTTTTAAGAAGGACATTTTCCTTTTAGATCCAGCACTATGTGGTGAGGTGGTGCGTTTGTTGTATGATGCAAAGTTTATGATGCAGAATCTTCCTGCAAAGCCACCCACCAATGGTTAGTACCAGACATGTAGGCCAAACCTATGTTGCTGCAAATAAAATGGGTGAATTGCAGTTGTCCTGTCACAGAATGCAGTTGGTTGGGTATAGCTTGATGAAGTTTGCTTTAAATGAAATAGATTTTATTACAAGTGTCTGCATTGCTAATATGGAAATTATACTTTAATTGCTTTTCTTGTTGAAATGAACTTCAAAGAGATTGTTAGACCTAGGAAAGAACCAAATAAATAAGGAGAGTTTCTTAAATGTATACAATAGCTGTGGACAAGATACAGAGAACTATCTAAAATAGGAACAAGGCACTTAGAGTAGCAGTTTCTAACTGTCTTATTCTTTGTTGGTAGCAAAATCTGAACTGTATTATTATCTTACAATCAGATTTTATTACAAGTGTCTGCATTGCTAATATGGAAATTATACTTTAATTGCTTTTCTTGTTGAAATGAACTTCAAAGAGATTGTTAGACCTAGGAAAGAACCAAATAAATAAGGAGAGTTTCTTAAATGTATACAATAGCTGTGGACAAGATACAGAGAACTATCTAAAATAGGAACAAGGCACTTAGAGTAGCAGTTTCTAACTGTCTTATTCTTTGTTGGTAGCAAAATCTGAACTGTATTATTTTTGAAATTTAATAGTTGTTAGATTGTAAGAAAAAAGAGGTGAAAAACAAGTAGATTCTAACTACATAGTTAACACTGTCTGCATGTCTTCTGGAATGAGTTCTGAAAAACAGAAAAATAAGGTAAACATCAGATTGAAGCAAATATGGAAATTATTTTTTATAACTTTATGGATAATGTACAAAAATATCATAAATTATTATGCATAATAATGTCTAAAATTTGTGATTTTATGAAAACTTCTGTTCAAGTTGTTTAATTGTGTAGTGTGTCAGAGAAACATAATGCTTTATAAAATACAGAAATGTATTTTGAATTACACTTTAAAAGCTGAAAAGGTATGATCAATTTAAGTTAAAGTGCTGTGGTGCATGACTCTGTGGATAAGAAGATATCAAACATCTAGAACACTGCTCAGTTTTTACTTCTCTGAGAGTACAGAAAATATGAAAAGCTTTTTGTGTGATTTGATAGCATCTTGGGTCCATGTCTCAGATATGCTGGAATATAATTTAGTAGATTCTGATAATACAGTAATAAATACAAGTATTTATTGTTATTATAAGTTACCAACAAAGTATTTAGAATAGACGGCGTTTGTTCCTTCTAGCATAATACAACCTAAGTAGGCAATGTATTGAGCAGATATTTTATATGGAGAAGACAGTTAATGATGTCTGCATCTTAGGAGTAAAGCTATTAAATGCTGGTCTGCTGAGAAATTTGTCAGCTCCTCTACTACTGTTGTTCCAGCACAAAAAATTGTACAAATGATAACTTTTGTAGGGAGGCAAAAAGGTAGTTTGGGATTATTTTATGTCTGTGGCTTGTTGGAATGAAATTTCTAGCTGAAGTAAAGAATCATAAATTACCAAAATCAAGTTGGGAAGCTTTAAAACATGAAGTACATTAAGAGGGCATTAGTCTGAAAAGTGAGACAATGGCAAAAGTTCTACTCCATTTGAGTAAACAACACGTCTTGAAAGGTTTCACCGTCTTTCAAAATGAGAAAAATTAAGGGAAAAAAGCTTCTTCAGAAGGTCTTTAGTTTGTACTAGTAGAGCAGGGAAGTTTTTGAAGTGTCAGAGGACACAGGAACTTTTTCCCACTAAGGTCTAGTTATGGATGCATTTCAGTAAATTCAAAGGCAATTAGTTCCTGGCTGGAATGAGAAGCAATTGAGAAGCAACATGAGTGTTGTTGTTTACATAGGTATGACTAAAGTCGATGACTGTTGCAGTAAAACTTCTTTGATCTGAGAAAATGTAATTTCATTAGCAATAGCCTTAGATTTAATACAGCAGTTTTTGTATACTTTTACACATATTCTCATGAAACTTTTGTATTTACAACACAGGTGAAGAAAAAGAACGTCACTGGTAGCTTTCATCCTGAATTATTGAAATTATGTTTCCCATCAGCCTTACAGGCTGTTAAGTCTGCTCATTTAAGGAAATTAGACTTCAACCCTTGCTCAGCAAAAAGTTTTTTATGCCTTTTGGGATACACTGTCCAGGGGTGTTTTACCTGTTATGACGACTGAAGGTTTACCAGAAGCCCAGTCATGAGGGCATATTCAATTGTCAGAGTTCCCTGACAGTCTACAGTCATTAACAATACATTCATTAACACTACAGTCCTTTATAGGTTCCCCTGTAGAAGAGATACTGTCTTCATGTTATAAATCATTATGTCCTCTGCTGTCCCAGATGTCTCTCCTAGTACCCAGCTTTCATTTCTCAAGAAGTCTACTTCACCCTCACTTAAGACTACCCATTCTTATGTGTGACACTATTGAATCAATTTCACATTTATACATAACAGTTTAATGGTCTTCATATTTTTTTTTTTCCACAACATTGCTAAAAACCTTATGGGCTAATTCGAAGTAAACAATCCTGCTCATCTACTCTTATATAGATCAGAAATTTAAATGTTGCAATAAAGTTCTAGATGTGATGCAGACAAACTCCACTGAAGATAATAGTAGCAAGGCAAATATTGAATACACGAAAGTATAAATAATGCAAAGGTTTTTTTGATCACCCTTTGGTGAGATAACATAGTTGTTGTCCTATTACTCTTTTATTTCAGTCTTGCAAGGTTATGCATCTCTCCCAGTAAACAGTGACAAATGCAAACCCATATTAATACAGCACCATTTCCCTAGCTTCTGTCTGTATTGTTTTGGAGAGGTTTTTTTTACTTCAAGCAACATTTTTTAAAAATTTTTTCCCCTTCCCTGGTGGTCATGTATGTCCACCTTTGAGAGAGCCGAATGAACAAAATACCTGTTTAAATTCTTACAGGATTTTCATTTTATGCAGAGCAGCAGGAGGAATGTTGTGCCTTTTCTGGTGCAGAGCTAAATTTCCCACCAGAACCATATGTCTGCAAAGCGCACCTTCTCTCTCCCTCAGTGGATCCCAAGAGAAGTGAGCAAGAAATGTGGCAACTGCCTTCTTTCAGCTACAGGCAAGTATAGCAGGACACTTTTGTGACGCCTACACCACTTAAGATTGCACTTCACTTCCAGTCCAGTAAACCAAAGATGCCAGAGAAAGTCAACAGAGACGCTGATACACAGTGTTGCTTCCCTTCTCACCAGCAGCACCCTCCAGGTGGTTGCAGTAGTGACTCAATTTGCTGTAGTCTTGTAAAGGTATCTCAAAACCTTATCAAAAAAAGAACCAATTGACAATGCCTGAGGCATTTACTTAGAGGACGACAGGGTTTCTCTGCTGACCTGCTGCTTTCAGTTCTAACTGAAAATGCCGCCGGTGCTAAGCTTTACTTGCCTTAGATAGACCCTTGGTTGAAGAGTTGAAAACACTTCTCTGGCTGCCAGTAAATCTGGGCCTTGACAAGAATGCTGGATGTACATGCTAGACTGCCCTTGAAGTCTGAACCCTGCAGTTTTCCAATCACTGTCTTGCAGCTGTGTGAACCTTCAGTCTTAGCACTAGTGAGTGGTAGTAAAGGCATGGTCTTGATCCAGATTCCATAGCCACATTTTCGTTGTGTGCTGTGGGAAACACCAGCTTTTTCCCTCCAGCTGCCATGGCTGTGTCAGGTGTGGTTTACTGTAATGTAAAATCCTCTGTAGTAACTTTTAGTTAGTCAGCTTTGATGTGGTGATTCTGCTGATATCAGCAGAAAGCTCAGTGTGGATTGCAGAAGTGAAGAGGACAGAGGATTGAGTTTGGACTGCAAAAGGCATCTCAGCTGCCATATAGAAATATATTGGTGAGTGACTTTGACAAGGAAGGAAAAGGGAAAGTCAGATCTAGTATGATGCTATAACTGGGTAATACAGGCCTACCACCTTTATTAATTCTTATTTATATTCCTGTAGCCCTTCAGGACTCCTAATCCTATTGATACCAGTGCTGTATAAAGAGAATGGAAATACATAGTCCAAACTACTGACAAGTTTAGCATTCCCATAGAGCAAATAGAATGGGAAACAAAGAGGAATTATGTAGGATCAGTAGAAGTCATATTGGCATACCAGAATCTGACGTACCTTCACTGATTTTGCTAGGCTTTGTAGTAAGTAAAATCCTAAACAAAGGGGAAGGTTTTAAAAGAAAACTATATATTAGATTTATATGTTTCTTGGGAGCTTTTACTAAGTAAATAGGTGATGCAAAGAATCTGTCTGAAAGATGTTGTTAGAAATGAAATCCATGAGGAATCATAAAATACTGCAGCTGAGGGCAAATGTTCTGTATACGATGCCATAGAGAAGGGACTGCATCAACACAGAGCGGAGTAGCATTGTAAGAATGACAGGCAAAGAAAATAACCATTGCAGCAATCTCTGATGTGTCTAAGACATAGTTTGTTTTGTTAAAGCAGTTGAAAGGAGGCTTGCAATAATTCAGAACTAAGTGCCAAGAGGAGAGATTGTGCAGAAAATAGGGGAAGTTGCAATTTGTGATGGCTGTAAGTAAAATGAAAGACAACACCAAGTAATAGTCATGCTTTTTTCTGAAGGTCACGTTGAAGCTAAATTCATGTCACGTTCAGTTGCTAAATTTAAAATATAGCTTAAAATACAATTAATTTAATCTTTCCTCTCTTTCCCTTTTCAAATAACATGGGCTTGACATTAATGCCTATGATGTTATTTTTTCCCCCTCAATTTAATCCATCCTTCTATTCATTTTTTAAGGTGTATCAGTCATCGTATAGGTTTATGTAATGGAGAAAATTATTATCCTACTAGTGTTTAAAAACTGCCTGACCATATATGAGTAAAATGCCAACATACACTTCCACTTACATTTCTGTCAGGGAAACTCACTTTGGCATCAAAGAGGGCTAGAGAGGAGAATGGCTTTCACAGACTTGTCTACCTGCATGAGCATTTGAACTTTAGGTGTCATTCTTTGTCCTTAACAGGAGCAGCATATTTAGAATTAAAGGTGATACAAAGAATGTCCTCAAGTTGCTTGCAGTCACATCCAATTTTTTTCATAAGCAACAGCAGCTAAATTGATTGACAATCAAGGCAAGTTCTGTCCTGTGTAAATGGTTGTGAACTTTATGCTAAAGGTTGTACTGCTCATAAATGCATCAGAGATCTGATGCCACTGTGAAGTCCAGAGTTTGTTGATTTGCTCAGCTGGAAGACTGTGGATATTATTTTTATTTATTTTCAGACTTCTTGCTTTTACTGTAGACAAATATGGTACACTTCATATCAAGCAAGAAATAATGTGTGTTCAGGATGAAATTCATGTGCTTCATCTTCTGATCCTTGCAAACAGGAAATAGGCATTGCTCAGCTCATCAGTGGAGTCCTAATCTTGCCTATTCTTCAGTCTGTGATCTTTAAGAGCTTCTCATGCTTTAGTAGATAATTTCATTCAGCTTGTACATGCTTTCTGGAAAACAGAAGAATTCAGGTATCAGAATCAGCTTTTGAAATGGGTGGTTGCTGGCAAACACTTGATCATAAAGTACTTGAACACCATCAAATTAATGAATGGTTAATTCTGTTATTACTATTTCCACTAAGTGGAGCAGATGAACACTGTAGTCAGACCTTAGCCTTGGCTTGATCAATTTGCTTACACTGCATGTGTTGTAATAATTTCTGTCCTAAGTGCCCTTAAAACCAGGCTGCTTACCAAGCCAAAATAAACTCTGTAATGCAGGAGGTGGTCAGGCTGCTGATTAAGGAGTGTGAATTTCAGATAGAATTGATTAATGCTTTCATACCTGAAAATATATATGGTCCTACTTTTTTAATTTTTGTCATCTTACATATAATTCTCCTGAACAGGAGCTTGAAGCAATGATTTATTTAATTATTTACTTCAAAACTGGATAAAAATAATGATGCTGAAAGTTAATGCAGTAATCAAATATAAGACTTTGTAGAATTTTATTCTCTAGAAAACCCCTCCTGCAGATGAAATAGTACTTTTGCTTAGATTGAGTAATTTTAATAAGTAAGTAGCTGATGCATTGCATAGTACTGGTATAACAAACTGAGCTTACCAGCTGACCTACTGATTTTCCTATGAATCAGCATATTCAAAAAACATGGCAAGTATCATGCACACAATGCTACCATTTTTTGAAGTAACTGTATTTCCTCTATTTAATTTCTGCAATTTTGAATAATTTTATGAGTATTTTTAAGGATGCTGAACTCTTTAGGGGAGCCATGTATTACTGCAGGTTGCTGCAACATAAAATGTTAATCAGCATCATGTAGTTTAAGTGGAATTTTAGTCATTGTTGTAAGCTGCTATGAGTGATTCTTTTCCCCTTAGAGTACTGTGAAATGTAAACATGCAGGTAGTATAATACTTCCTACTTCTGAAGAAACACTAGAAGAACTCATGTTCGTGTCCTGAGATCCCATCATATACCACAAAACCAGGAGGTTTAAACTGAATTTAGAATACCTTGCCATCACAACAAGTTGTTCTGGAGATGAGGAAGATAGCAGTGCATATACACCACAGAGGTGGTTGTCACAGCTCACCAGTGACAGTATTGTGACACCACAGGCAGTATATTGTATGTGAGACATAAAACTCCTACTTTTGACAGCATTTGGCCCTTACAGCTGCTGTGCCACGTTGAAAATGGCTTAATCACAAAGGCTGGAATGATTTTGCTTCAAAGCAAGCTCTTGCCTGCCACCTTCCTCTACCCTTTTTGAGGGAGATTGGGAAAAAGTCATCTAGTATTTCTGTCCCCCAGTAAATTGGCTTAAGTAGGTGTTTTTTAAACCACCCCCCAGTGGGGTCTGTATTGATAAGCTCATTTCCATCCTAGCTTTCTTGCTGTGAGAAGGCAGAACTCTGGTTATGTCATTAAATCAACATCTGGCCCTAATTTTCCTGACACACTGAACCAAAACATCTCTGCTTTTATCTTCATTTCCTTGCCATTATATGGGGTAATTTATTAATCTAACTGCCTACAGAAAAGTCTTCTGTATATTAGGATTTCCCTCAACAGGAAGAAGACCTAAAGAGCACTGTCTGTTTTCTGGGGAGGTAGGATGTGTTAGAGCATCTTCTGCCTTGTCCTCTTCTCAGTGGAGGCTCAGTGAGCTCCTGAAGTGCTTAGCCTTAAGCTGTGTGGGCTGTATTCTTTCTTTTTAATTGTTATTGGGGTCTAGAGAAGAAAAAGAACTTGGAACACTATTTTGACTCATGGAGAGAGCAAAACTTCAAGTGGATTCCCATGAACTTCCATTGTCATAAGACTGGATAACAGAGAGGTAGAGAAAAATAAAGGCTTAGTACTGAGGACAGGAAATAAGCAGGAAATGCAGCAAAATTATAAGGGCCTCATTTGAAGGAATGCTGAGAGCTTTTGAGGATGGAAGATGAACACTAATTGGAGAAAATGAGAGGAAGATTTGGATGGATTTTTACCAGGGAAATGGAGAAATTATTAATTCAAGGCTTTCACAGAATTCATTGTATGCCTCAGTAAGTACACAGACAGACAAGATCCAGTTTTTTTTAAGTACTCTGTGTGTAAAAAGGGTTTCCAATGAGTTAATTTATTTTGCAGCCTCTATGTTTTTGTATTTTGAAAGCTAAATTCTGACATTTCTTCTGGATTTTCTGGAAAGGGTAAGGCAGTTATAGATGTGGGGGATAGAGAATAAATTTATGGGAGAAATACAGAATGAATAGAAGAGCGCTCTGTGACTAAAAACGTGCTAAGCTTCAGTGAGAAGCAATGAGAGATTGTTTTATATTGAAGAGTAACTGACACAAATGAATAAGAGCTAGATTGGAATGAACCTGCAAGTTAAATGTAACCTTGTATATTTAATGAGATATTTATACTTTTTTAAAAAAAGAAGATGTAAAAATTTGTTTATTAAAACAAATATTAAAAAAGCAGAATTTATAAATAGTGTAGAGGTAATGATAACTCTAGATATGTAAAATTGAGACTGCTTATTACCTGGCTCATTTTAGCCTCCTTTCCTTTTCACCTGCCCCATAAAGAGGCATTTGTATTTGTCATCCTGATGAAGCCACTGTCATTCCAAAGAAACAGGCACCTTCTGGAATTTGCTTGTTGTGCACATGCATACATGCATCTGCACACATATACACAGCATGAATTAGAAAATTGGTATTTTCTCCATGGAAGTTTTGAAGATATGGTCCTGTGTATGTGTTCTATTTTATATGGTAATAAGATAAGGAGAAATAATGTAGGAAAAGATCACTGAAGGACCCAGAACAACAGGAAAATATACTAAAGTGAGTAAATACTAATTTTACTATTATTTTTAGGCCCTGCAGAAAATTCTAAGAAACTTTTCTTTTGTGTGTGTGTGTGTGTGTGTGTGTGTTTGCTAAATACTAATCTAATATTATTTCCTCTTTAACAGTTGTGGTAACCTTGAGAAAATTTTAAGAACAGGGTACTCTGTTACTGGGTTAAAAAAAGTTGGTGTTATCATTCCCTTTGTTTATGCATTAGAAATGGGATATGCTCAAATGTTCAACCCCTGCAGGGAAAAAAACAAAACAAAACAAAAAAAACCACAACAGAACTTTTAAGTGAAGCTGCTCACTAATTATTTTGGTGGCTTAATAGTTTACTAGCCTGTAAATACTGACTTGTCATAATACTCTGAAATGAAACAGCTGTAGTAAGTTCACTGTATTTACCTGGTATTAATCACCTGATGCCTGCCATACTTCTACAGGAGGAGAAACTTCCTGTAAAAACTCTGCAAAATGCAGTAGTAACATCTTGGGGGTTTGTTTTATTGTTTTCAGGGTGCTGGGTGCACTGCACTGGTGGTAGCTGTGGTGGCAAGGAAGTTAGAACTTACCAAAGCTGAAAAACATGTGCATAATTTCATGATGGACACCCAGCTAACTAAAAGAGTAAGTCACACTTTATATTCACAACTGAAAAGGAATACTGTGCATTAATTTCTTTCTGCATTTGTTTTTAAGTAGTCTCCTGCTTGGTATCCTTGCTGAACTTTATAATGAGTATTATTTTGAAAGCTTAGAAATTGGATGCCTTGAGTTTTTCTTTAAATTGAGGGCAACTGCAAGTTGTCAGCAAATTTTAAGGATTTATATAGAATATCGTATAGAGGTGCCTTGTAACTGGAAGGTATTTGGTGTTAATTACTTAATTAGCAGTTAAGTGCTGTGAAACTAGAGTATTGTATTAAACCAAAAGCTTTTGCATGGCATATGAAAATATATCTATTTGTATCTAAAACAGGTTAAATGACTGATAAAAGCAAAAATTTCTGCTTTGAGAGATGTTCTTAAGAAAACAACAAATGTTTTCATATGTTGATAACATATGAACAATAACAGTGAGGCAGTCTTTCCAACTGCTTTTTGTACACAACACATAGTTTATTTAGTGGCAGACAGTATGAAGGACTCTGAAAGATATTTTTATACATTATTTTTAGAAGAGACCATTTTTCACAAAATAAGAATCATTGGTATTGATGGAAATATTTTAAATGAAAGAAAATGCAGCAAACAAGGCAATGCAAATCCTGTGCTGAAATAAAGCAGGTCAGTGTTGAGGGAACAAGAAAATGAGTGGTAGCTGTACAGTCCACTCAACTTGTCCAGTCTCCATTATTGAGAAGAGCTAATGTGAAGACAAAGGTGCTTATAATCACAGCTCAGCAGAACTCAGCAGAGTTTCTCCTTCGTGGTGGGTGCAGAGGGATGTCAGTGCCTGAGATGGAGAGAGTAGTTCTGCTCCAGGCAAGGAGGAGGAGGATGGCTGCCCCAGCACAGCTCCCTGCAGCACTGCACTGCTGCAGGTGTTGTGCTGCAGAGAGCCCTGTCCTGTCCCCACGTGCTGTGCTTCTCAGAGCACTGCTCTGGCTGTGCTGGCTCTCATTTCTGTGCTGCTCACCACTACCTGCCTGTATCTCCTCTAAAGAGTCACAGCTGGGAAAGACTAAGGATGAGTGGGAAGACAGTTCTTATATAGGTGTAGAGGGTGTCTGACAAGGTGTCTCTCTGAGCTTGTTGATTTACATTTCTATTGCAGTCAGTTAAGGTGTTGTTGATACTAGACCACAGAAAATAATTTGTCCTTCCATAACACAGTCACTTTTCTAGTGTTATCTGACAGCTGAGCCCTAAATGTATCTCAGAGATTGGCCAGATTTTGAGTCTACTCTTTATTTATGCCTTTTGAAGTTTACTTTGTTCATTTATTCTTCATGTAAATCTCAGTGTTAATCTAATACTTTATTCAAGTGGTGCTTTCAGAGCTTTAAGCTCGTGAAACTCAAAGCATATGAAAAGTGAGCCAAGCAAAGAAATCCAAGATGCACATCAGATCACAAATCATGCAGATGCTGGGGATCTTTCCTTACAGCCTGGTGATAGTCATACCTCTTGGAAGTGCAAGGGCTACTTAGGGATTGTGAGCAGTTCTCTAAACTGTGGTCGTGCTTTCAGTGAAGACAGGACAAGGTTCTTGAACACTTAGAGGTGCAAGGTAGGGGAGCCTGTTCTGGGCCAAGCTATTGCATGACATTCCTGCAATATCTTAGCCATTGACTTAGCTCTGACACTGCAGTTACTGGCATGATGTAAAGCTGGAGGGAGAGAAAATAAAGACAAATAAAGACAATTAGGACAATTTTTCTTTCCAAGTAACCCAGTCATTCAGCCAGTAATCAACATTGCATTCAAATTATTTGTATCTTTTTAAGCATTCTTGAAAATTTTGGAGGGCCTAAAAAGAGAGCTGTAGGTATACTTAACACTTTATGGAAAGCCAAATGAAAAAAAAAAAAAAAAGTCAAAGCACTTTTTAAAAAGAACTCTGCCCATATTAATTGGCAACATATTTTTTCATCTTCTTGGAGAATGTTAAAAAAGAAACAAGTATAAAAACTAAATGCCACCCAAAAAAAAACCAAAAAAAAAAACCCAAAAAAGCAGGGACCAAGTGCTCAAACAGCTCTGGAAGTTTAAAAGACTGTTAAATTGCTAAAAGAATTAAGTGTTAACCATAGAACAAAAAAAGAGAGAAATGTTATGGTCCTATTGAATTCACTTAATTAACATACAGATAATGCATTAGTATTTCCTCACTGTAATTTATATTGCCGTAAACACCAAACAGTTCCAACTCTTTGAAGAGGGAAAATTATTCCTTGGTGCAAAAACATTTGATCTGAACACCACATCTGTATAAAAAGGAAACTGCTCAGCAGTCCCTTTAATCCAGTTGTTGCTTTCTTCCCTCAGTGCTGCAGATTCTTGAGGTATCCATTTCCCACAGTTAAGACAGCATTTCAAAAGCTTTAGGAAGAGTTAATAACAGAAAAGTAAAAACATAACATAAGACTACTATTGTCAGCCTGGTGTTTTTCTTTTATTAAACAGGTGAAAAATGCAGCGGCCAATGTACTCAGGGAAACATGGTTAATTTATAAAAACACAAAGCTGGTTAAAAAAATAGACCACGCAAAAGTAAGGAAACATCAACGCAAATTCTTGCAAGCTATTCATCAGTAAGTACTATTTTGCTTTCTTTTTCCTCCCAAGGTGTTTTCTCTGTTAGTTTCCTTCTCTCTGTCACTCTTAGTCCCATCCTGCCCCCTCCCTCCTCTCCCCCCACCATTTCTTTCCCTTCATAGATGATTGTTCTGGAGTTTGATTTTCTTTCAGAGTAAGTCTAAGATAACCATTTGCTGTATTATCTGTTTACAATAAAATAAAAAAGTACACTGGCAGTTAATGTCCATATAAACTGGTCAGTGTTTTTTAGAAGTTTCCCATGCTTCTTGAATTATCTAAGACTTTTTTTGTTCTATGCCACTGAGACCATCCTTTGTTTTTATGCATTTTCCTCCAGGTAGAAAGATGTGAGCTACAATAGACAGAAGAAAATTTTTAAAAACCATTTTCTTTGTAGTAGATGTTTTAATATTTTAAAATCAGAATGATGTGATAGAAGAGTATGTAGTGTTTAATGAAAAGAATATTCATCAAGTATGATTTCATGACCACCAGCATTTAGTTGTGTCTCTCCACTGTATATTCTCAGTGCTTAAGATCAAATGTTGGTATGTCAGCTATAACCCCTGCTATCTGTTCTAGGAAATGGGTGTGTGTTCCAATAGTTGAGACCATTGAGCACCTCTGGCATTTTTCAAATGAGTTCTTCCCATCTCCTTGAGAGTCTGAAAACAAGCCTGAGACCTAAAACTGGTAGTAGGGTTAAGCTGTGCCATGGTATTGCCAAACTACAAGGATTTGTCTAAAACTGACAGTATGTATTTGTCAGAAACCACATCCAAATGAGCAGAATTGCACAATGGTTACTATTCCTGAACTACATGAGAGGGGAAAAAAACTCAGTTTTGTCCTCAGGAGCCAGAATTGTTTTGAGGAATGGTCAGGGTCTGTTTCTTCGATTTGTTATCCCCATTCACCCTGAGGCAGTCATTTGTACAGCCTATGAAGATAGTTCCCATGAGTTACAGGGAAGAAATAGATAAGTTTAATTTCAAACTGATTGTTTCATAACTTTTGAGTGTAGGTCTGTGCCTGAGACAACCAGTGAAGAGATGTGAGGGAAGCGTCCGTGATGAAAAGAACATACATGTAACATCTTACAGGAAAGACAGGAAGGAAAGGCCCAGTTTACTCATTTCCTATTTGTAAATTTAGACTAACAATCATTCTCTCTTTCATAGCAATGTTTCAAAGTAGCAGGTAGATTAGCTTAAGCTATTAATTACTCTGTAATTCTTGGTTACTGTATTACATTTCGCAAACTTGCAGGTTTAAATGTTACTGTGTCATTGTGGAGATATTTTGAGGAATAAAAAGACAACAGAAGTTGAGGCATTTTTATGTGAATATGAAAAGTACATTTTTATATAGCAGTTTGGCCATCCTGCTTAGCTTAAAGGATTGGGAGGTGGAGGGGAGTGGCAGGGGTTCTGGGGAGAGGATAGCATGTCATGTGCATCCTTGCTGGACTTGAATCTTTGATTGTAAAGGTTGTTCCCTAACATTTTAACTTTACTATTTATTGTGTGTGTGTTCCTGTGTCTGTGTGTGTATGAGTACATATGTTCAGAAAAGAATCTAAAAAGCACAGCAGGCTCGATCTCCAGCTTTTTTTATCGCTCAAGCTTGGAGAACTTTTCAGGATATAAAGTGTGTGTCCTGCACCTCCCTTAAAAATTAATTAATCAGGTGGAGGGAAGAAGGTGTCATCAGTAATTTTTTCCTAGGTGTGACAGCTAGATTACACAGCTATCTTAATTATTTCTCTCTATCTTTTACCACTTTGCACTACAGCCCCAAAACTTTTGTATTCAGGAAAACAAAAAAAAAAAGATATTTTTTTCAATATGCTGAAGAATGCACCATGAGTGAAAATATTGCACTTGCAGTTTGCTTTCTTCCTGTAGCTGGATGGAAATGCATCCTGTAGATGGATGCAAATTTTTTGCATCTTTGCACTTTTTCTCAAGTGACTTACAGTTTTCCATCTTTCCAGATTCTTAAGTTTTGTTTAGTCTCCCTCCTTCATCTTCCAACCATTTCACTGGAGACAAAAATAAAAAGAGTGGAATTTCAGGGCTAATTTAATAATAGAAACCAGACCCAGATCATGATAGCAGTCATGGTCGCAGCTCTGAAATGTGTTCAGCTGGTCTGGGTGTTCTGCTTCTCATGCACATTAGATAAGATGAAGGTGAAATCATAAAAAAGGCATATCATGTATTGTATGAATAAGAAAATCTACAGATGATAGTTCGTTGGAAGGCTTGAAGATATTGCAGATTCCTTCATCATGAATGTGAGTTAGGCTCCTCCTCAGGCAGCTACTAATCAAAAGTAGCAATTCCCTAGGACTTTCCACCTGCTGAATCGAGCCCACTGTGCTCATTTGGTTGTTTTAGTATATTTTACACATTGTTTTCTTTTGTTTTGTCTTTTTTTCAACAAAATGAAAATAGAGCTCGGAAGTAAGTTGTATAAGCTGTTCCTTTCTAAACTTGCAGAATTTAGCACTGTCTGCATGCAAAAAATAGAGTTTTTATTTGTGACTTTCAGTGGTCTGATTGCTGCCATGGAAATGCGATCCAGAATCATGATCTTTTTCTGTGATAAGTGAAGTTCATAAAATCAAAATTTTATTTTAATGAATTATACTAAGTCTCTTGGTTTTCTTTAAATCTGGCTGCTGCAGCTAAAGACTTGCCATATCTATACGTTCTTACAGCCTGTGGTAGGTGTTTGGTTGCTTACTATGAAGAATTATCATGTTGGTGTCAACTGGTACTGCAATAATAATGAGATTCCTGGAATTTTAAAATTAAAATCCTGATTGTCAAAACAGATGAGTCAGTGAATCTTAAGAAAAGCAGAAAACACATATTCTGCACATTATTTGAAAGAATGGTCACAAAACACTGGGGTTTTCATTCCCCAGTGAAATAATTTCCTTTGAATAATTATTCTGTTCTGACATTGTGATGATATAATTCTGTACCTTGGAGACTCCTTCATATTTTTTGCTTTAGAAAAACTCCACCTTGTAGCCTCTGAAAACACCACTGGTACCGTCTGCATTTATGTTGTGCTCTGACAGAAGCTTCCAGGGGAAGAAGAGCATATGGCATTCCAGCAACAAGCTCCTGGAATGCCAGTTTTATATGATCAGTTCATTTCTACCTTAACAGAGTTATTTCTGTTTATATTTTAAAGATATTTTTAAATGATATTTCACAACTTACTTTCTCATACCGGTTAGCCTGGATATGAAAGGAAATGCTTGTCAACTAAAGAGATGAAAGAAACTTTCTGGTTTTGGAATAGCTTCAAGAGGGTTTTCTTTAAACTACCTTTCTAAGACCATCACTGAGAAATGGGCAGAGAATGCATTAGCAACCCACCTGTCACAAAATGCTGCCAAACTTACTTCCATTTGACAGCTAACCAAATTGTTATTTTGGTTGGCCCTTGGCACACTGGTAGACTGAAGTAGTATCTTATGACACATTGTTTATAAATTGATACCCTGGTTTTGCAAAGCCCTATTTCCTGCTCTAGAACAGCCAGAAAAGTCATTGAAAGTCCAAGTATGGATCTATTATGAGATGCTGAACCATATTTAAGGGAGAAATTGGCTATTTGTGAAAATAAAATCTACAAACAACTCTTCTGGTAATCCACCTGGAAAACATGGGGTTTGTATCAGAGAATTTATAAGAAAGGTCATGTAACTTGCAAAAAATGTGCATAACCAACAATAATGCAGATAGGTACGCATCAAAGAAAAAAATGCACCCTTGATGCTTCTTTCATAATTAATCAATACTATAGTTTACATAGCGCTTTGAAAAAGAATTATGTAAATTTAAAATATAATCATATTTAGATTCACAAATTATCCAAAAAAACCCAAATGTATTGGCAAGCATGTTGGTTATTTAGCTGCTGGTCTGATGGAAGTTCTGTTTAAAGTAAGGAGAAACTCACTTATCACTGTATGTTCATCAGGTTCCAACACCTGCTAACCCAATCCATTTCCGACAGAACAGGGCTAATACCTGTATCTAGTCATGTAGGCATGGGAAGATTCTTGATTACTACAACAATAATGACAAAAAACTGTTGTTCTATGTTTCTTCCTATATCTACTTGTCACGATACTGAGGCTTTGAGGAATGTTTTGGCTTTCTTTCATGTAGTCTGGATAAATTGTTATCTTCTTTATTGAATTCAACTTTGACCATGACAAATGGTATTCTCAAGGACATCACATTTCCTTGCTCTTTCCTTTTTTGCGGTGTTGAAGAAGCATGCTTCTCATTGTAGCAGGCACATGAAAGATTCTGACTCTACACAAAGTAGTCAAGGCATTGTCCATGCAGTTATTTGCTCTTGTAAGTTTTGTGCATGCTCTCTAGAAATCCTAGTATGACCTCATACAAAAAAAAAACATCTGACTTAAAATTCCACTTTTTAGATTAAGAAGTGTAAAAATGGAACAAAGGAAACTGAATGATCAAGCCAACACTTTGGTGGACCTGGCAAAGGTTAGTAGGCAGTTGCTGTTGTTTCAACATTCATCATTTCAAAATGCACAGTTTTTAAGTGAAAATGTTACGCATTATATGTGCAAATATTATTAACAAGGTGTTATGTGTAGCAAATGAAAATATGTGTGTGTTTTGTGGTAGCACCTACATCTTGAAAAAGTATCCTGATGAAAGTTTGAATGTGCCATATTTATTTATTTTTTTGTGCATTTGAAAAAGACTTCACAGTTGAGAGGCTGATCCTGAGAGCTCCTGAGGTGACTGCAGAGGTCATGGTAAATGTTGAACTGTGAGTGGGCCATAGTGGTGTAGTGCTGTAAAGTAAGAAGAATTTGCCATATGGTGCTAGTGGCTGTGCCATGACAGACCATAGTAAATAGCCTCTAGACTGGAGTTAGAAGTTCTGGATTCCTGTTCCTGTTGTCTTATGCAGCAGTAACTTTGGACAAGTAAATTTAGATGTGCATTTATTTAAGTTTTTATGATGAATAATAGTTGCCTACTTTGCCAATATATCATAAGGATTTTAAAATCCTTTTTAAACCATTTGTGTTGAGGTCAAAGAGGCTATCCAGTTGTGAGCTGCTTGTTTATTGTTGCTAGATTTTTTTCATAAATATATAACAACTAGAAAGCTGGAGGTCTGAGCTGATACCATTTTGGATTTCTCATTAGAACTCAATACTGTGAGCTTAATTTGAGGCTACATTAGAAGCATTGATGGGCTCTTCTTAAGGGTTTCTTGTACACCTCTTCATTTACCTCAATATCCTCCTCAATTTCAAGTGCATCAAAGCAAAGATTAAACTCTTCAATGTTCATTCCCCTCTTGCTTTACAGAATCACATGACAACTTCAGGTGAAAATACAATTCAGTCTAATGCTTCTGGCAACTAATAAGGACTTTTAATATACTATTTTGTTTAGACTACTTCACTTTCAAGGGCTATGCTAGCATCCTGAAACAGGAGGCAGAGCAATAGGTTATAACCCACCTGATACTGAAGTGGTTTACACTTCAGGCAGCCATTCAATTATTTTTTCTTTCCTTTGGATGGTTCATAAATTTCAACTGATTTTTCTACTGAATTGCATCCAGTTTTTACTCTAATTTACATAATCTGAAGCCTCAATCTATAAGAGGCAGACATTTACCCATTATGTTTTAACCAAGTCTCTATGAAACACCACATTTCAGATTACATTTTTACTGACAATTGTGTCATTTTAAAGTACACTCTATATATTTGCTGCATTCCAGCAGTGTTTTGTAGAGGCCAGATAGATTGGAGAGTGCAAAAGTAGAAAAGCATACAATTGAGTTTTTACTCTTTGCACTACTTTCCAAAAACAATCCACTCAACTACTCTTACTACCAATTCAAGAAAATCTGCCAAGTTTAAGTAGCAAGCCAATGAACAATATTTGTGCTCTGCTTAGAAGAATGAAGGTATTTAAAACCAGAACCAAGAACAGTTGAGGATGAAACACATCAGTGGAGCCTTCAGTCCCCTGGTGGCTTACACTGACTGTTCAAAAGGCTTAGCCTGCTACACTCCCAAGCATCTGAATTTCCAAAAAGGGTCTGGTGTTTAATTGAAATCAACTTTGTCTAAAGTGCTACTAAAAGCCATTATGTTTCTGCTCAAGAAATCTAGTAGAAAGTTTAGTCTACTGTAATTTAATCTACTGGGAAAATTATTTCACAAAACTGGGTATTGTTGTAATACTCATATCCTGTTTCACAAACCCTTGTAGAGTTGTGCTACTTGTTACAATACTTGTGAGGTCTCTCTAAATCTTTACTTACATCCTTCTACTTTCAGACTCAAAACATCATGTATGACATGATTTCTGACTTAAATGAAAGAAGTGAAGATTTTGAGAAGAGAATTGTTACTCTGGAAACTAAACTGGAAACTTTAATTGGTAGCATTCAAGCTCTTCCTGGACTGATTAGCCAGACAATCAGCCAGCAACAGAGGGAATTCCTCGAGGCTCAGATACAAAATTATGATAAGCATGTTGCCTACAGTGCTGAACGATCACGATCTTTGTCAAGAAGAAGGAGATCATCCTCCACAGCACCACCAACTTCATCAGAGAGTAGCTAGAAGAGAATAAGTTAACCGCAAAATAAAGACTTTTTGCCATCATATGGTCAATATTTTAGCTTTTATTGTAAAGCCCTATGGTTCTAGCCAGCGTTATCTGGGTTCTGATGTCAGAATCCTGGAAACCTGAACACATTTTAGGCCAAAATGAGTGAAAACTCTTCTTTCCCCCCCCCACCCCCCCAGATGCACAGTGAATGCACCTAGTATTGCTATATTAGATTGTTCTTCCTGTAATTTCACTTTTTTTTCATGCACTTCAAATAAGCTTTACTACTACAATACATAATCTAATATGATAAAAATGTTAATTTCTGCACATAGTTACTTGATTACCTTGACCTAACAACCAAAAAAAAAGTTCACAATCAAAAGACCTAATTATGAACTTTTAAGAAACTAAATCAAAGCTTAATAATTGTTTCTAAGTATGAAAGCTAACTGTCTAAACTTTGCTTGCAGTGGAGGGGGAAAAAAACCATTATTAATCTAACAGTGTGCTGTATCTGTATAGTCATTTTAAAAGGTCATGAACAGCTTTGATTTCTGAAGTGATTAATTAAAAATATAGTTTATCCTAGAAAATAAGTCTCAGAGAAAGCTATGGGTTTTTTTTAATGCGGTTAGGGCTTTTATTTAACATGCATTGATACCTACACACACACATAGATAATATATATATACATATGTATTTATGTATATAAGATTATTTATGCAATGCCCATAGCAATGATCTTTTAAACTGACTATTCGTAAAGCTACTGGCATGCAAAAAGCACAGGCAATGTCCTGTTTACGTATTCAGAGTCTCATAACAATGCCAGGTACGTTTATCCAGATCAAAAGCATCACTTTCACCCAGAAGTCTCCTAATAATGCTGTTTGGGTTTTGAAAGTGTTAGGTTGCTACTTTCTCCACTCCTTTCTTTGTGTTTCTGGAGTGAATGACTGACACACAGACTTACAGTACACATGGTTGTGTGATGGCAGCACAGTGTTCTGTATATGTTATGTTTCGGCAATCCCCATGGTTCCTGCTATGCAGTCAAGCTTAGCAAAACACTTCTAGCAATATTTCCAAAACCTCCTGTAAAAAGCCAGCTGTAGACTGGAGTTACAACAGAAGGGTATCTATAGTACTTTATTTTCATGCATAAAAACAAGGTCTCCTACTTTATTAAAGAAAAAAAAAAAAAAACCAAAACAAAACAAAAAACAAGTCACAAAGCATAGTCACCAGTAGGCACTGGTGAAAAACTTTTGACTGACATTTCTCCTGGTTTATGCTCCAGAATAGCAAAACTAGGTGAGTTTAAATGCTCAGTACATGCAACTTGCATGAACAATTCCTAGTTATAAGCAGGAAATTATTCGACTTTATGAGATATTTTTTAGTACTTGCTATTTATGAAATGTGCCAGTCCAGTCTGCCTCTCCCCCAGTTTACAGCCAAGGGTGACATCTCTAGCTAAACAAGTAGACGTGGCTGACTGTTTCTATGTCTGCCTAGAGGTAACCAACTTGCTCGTTGAAGGAAGTGAGGAAATGCACATTGCTCCATGAAACACTGTGACTTCTGGCCAGCAAGGACAGGCAGGCAAGAGTAATGCAGAAAGTCAGGGTAGAGCCCTTCTGGGCAAGACAGAAGAGCTTTCCAGCAACCAGAATTCCCCAAACCAAATACATAATCTGATAAAGAGCAGACACTTTAGGCCTATTCAAATTAAAGGATCTTCCTTTTTTGGTGTTACGAATGTATAAATGATGAATGTATAAGTGACATCCAGAGGTATTGCATGCTTATTAAAAGGTCAAGAATTTCTCCAACTTTTTATGTCCTTGAGAAAGATGATGACTTCAGTATTTTTCCCCCTAGAGCAGGACAGTTGCATGCCTTTGGCGTGCCTTATTTACAGACTGTGGTATTTTGTGACTGGAAATAACCAGCAGTATGCATAGTATTTGCAGTTCTGCTTTTGTTTTTATGGAGATCATTTTCAAAGGAAAAGATGGATATTATATAGTCCTAATACTTTTCTAGTGCGGTCCTTAAATAAATGACATTGTGAATGGTCATAAGGCCAGTAGTAATTAATAATATTGGAATTTAATAGTCAAGTTTTAGAAATCTTTTTTTTCCTTTTTTGCATTTAGTTTAGAATACTCTTCTTGACATTGAATGTGAAATACACTTTCTGTAGCTTGAATACATTCCTTTTTCTCCTGTCAGCTTGAACTAGCTCTTTCATTGTTTACATCTTTTTAATATATGTATAACACTCATTTTTTGCACAACTGGGTTTTTAAAGAACTGTAGCTCCACTTAGAAGAATTTTTGTCAATCTGTCAATTTTAATTAAGATCCAGCTACAAGTATTGAGCTGGCTATTTCTGTTGTGAAAGAGCAGCTTTCAGTCTTTGACCTCTCTGTTTCTTTTACTCACTAGGACTCAAAAGCCTGAACCTAATATTATTGCCACAGCTTTATGCAATGGTGAGATTCATCAGGATTATTTCCATCAGTCGCATTCTGTAACAACCTGCCAAATTATTTTGGATTCTTTTCTTTCTTTTTAAAGCAAAAAACAAATGATGTCACCATGTTATACTCCAGTTCTACATCTTAATTTACCTTCAAGATCACTACAGATATTTTATCTGCATTTTCAGCACGTGTGACTTTTTTCTTGTAATATCTGATTTCAGCACTAAGGTGCTGCATGGGGATACACTACATGAAAGGACTGATATAAACTTTTATTCAGGAGAGCACAAAGCACTCTTGGTTTGATTTTCTTACTCTTGACACTAAACTCCTTTTAGTCTTCCCTTGTCTGACTTTTGTAGTACCACAAATTCCATTACTGAATTTTTAGTTCCAAAGCTTTAGCTGTATCATTGTAAACATATGTAATCACCAAAAGGAAAACATATCATTTTGACAGATCGTGGAAACTGTATATTTAAATGTAGACTTTTCTTGTAAAGATTGTTTACAAATGACAAGGAGTCTTTCTCAAAGCATATGGCATATTTACCATATTACAATTGTAAAGCTTCATGCACCTCTTGCCTTAGTTTCACCAGTAGGAAAATTCTGCTTTCTGTTGCTATTAAACTCCTTTTCACTACATTCCAGACACTGATTCCATTTTTAAGTTTCTTGGGAGTCTTTTTGCTAGTCTGCTTTTTTAAAGACACCGAGCAAAGATACCTTGCTCGGAAGGACTGAAATGTAAGATCACAATAGACCTGTTCACTATGCTTAGAATTAAATGCTTTCATTTAAATAGTACTTTTTACTTAAATTTACTATTTTTCCAGAATCAGAATAATACATTCATATGTTTTATGCTTGCAAATGCTCTGCAATTTTTGATTCTGTAAATCATTATGTATTTTAAGCCTGCATATCTTTCCAGACAGACGTGCACAACTCAGCTTTTCTTTACCTCCTGCTGCTCCATAAGGATGTATCTTATATGAAAAGAGATTTGCTATGTAAAAGTTTGGCATCCAGCTTAGGAGCTCTGAATGCCTTCTGGAGGTTCATACCTTGTGAGCTATTTCAAAACTATGGCTCCCCAGACTGAGTTTGGAATCACTGTCATCATTAGAGCAAACATAAGTGATAAGTATACTGTTTTACAAATTGTAAGACTCTTTTCACGTCAGATCATATGTAAACATTCAAGCTGATATGCCACACATTAAGAGCATATCTAAGCATAAAAGAATAAAAGGTGTTCAATGTGTCTAAAATTCAGAATAAAATCTGTAACCCTTATCAATACAAAAAATTTAAATTGTTTGTAAACTCTTTTCCCGTAACTAAGTTATGAAAAATTCTTACTAAGCTTTAGCCACAGAAGGTTTTCTGATTAATGTGTGTTCTCTCCATCTGTAAAAGTTTGTGTTCATATCCATTCTTTTTTTAAATCAAAGTCCTTGAAGTATTTTTGTCCTTTTATTAGTAATTATTAAGGGGTGACAAATAATTATAAAGGGGTTACAAGCAATGAAATAGAGGGGAAGGTAGGAAGGAGCTAACCTTATGTATATAATTTTTAGAATTCCACCTCTACATCAGCATATCTAAATGCTCAGGTAGAAATGGACACAAATTTTAGCCAGCACTCCTAGCTACCCAGGTCCAGGCCAGCCCTAGCCTGGGAAGAGCACTGCCATATCTGAGAAGTTCTGAGGTGGAGCTTGCATGCACTCAAAGCCAACCATTTATGTGTGTGGAAATTAATGTCCACAGAACCTCTTATGTGCATAATAAAATTAACCTACAAGTGTCAGGGCTTTCAAACATGGTCCTATATCTGTTGGCACAAATTCAGAGAAAATTATGCTATAATGTATATATTTTTATTCTGAACTTTTTAAGGGATATCTGTAAGATTTATCTCTCTCCATGACTGAGAGAATAAAGAAAAGCAGATGCTTAGAAGCTGCTTTGCAGTCAGGTGTGCATAGTGTTAGCTCTGACTTGCCTGAATACCTCACTGCACATCAGCTTTGGTCCAGAAACCACACAGTTTTATTCATTCCAGAAAGAACAGGTTTCTCTCACTATAGAGGGAGTTAGCACTGAGCAAATAAGTCCTTTCTCTCAAGAGCAGCCTGGTGTACAAGATGATAATAATAAATAGGAGAGGAGAATTGTGATAATTTATGCAACTCTGCTCAAGACTTAGAGCTTAGCACACCATCAAGCCCAATGCAGACACTTGATTCCCTGCCAAGAATTGCTTGCAGCTGGACAGTACAGCACATGGTTGGAGCAGGTGGCAGTGTGGTCTGGACTAGGGTATGTAGACATCCTAAAATGGAGCCAGTTACCAGAATTAGCATCACCATACTGCCATATATTAGACTTTGTTACAGTGATATAGCTGAAGATCTGTTAGATAAATAAATTTCAGGCCTTTATGTGAAGAAGAGTCCCCTGCAGAGAATTGCAAAGTTTTTCTGCACACTGAAGGATATGCAACACCATGTCAGTGAAAGAAAAAACATAAGCCACAGTTTTGAACCTGTTGCAAACTAGGAAGGAAAATAACAAAATTAGATGGAGAGCTGAAGCTTTGTGCTGACTTCCCTTTCATTCAGATTCACTTAAATCCATTAGTATCTTCAAATATTTAGGAGAACCTATACTGTTTTCAATTATACATGAAGCGAGCTACAAGCTTTTAGTTAGATTAAAAGGTTCTCCTTTAAGACTATGCCTATTCTGACCTACTGTTCCCTTTCTAACCTGAATTTCAAAGTACCTTGACTATAAAGAGAACATGCATATTCTCCTGTGTGGATTACAGCAAAGTAGGTCTCTGAACAAGAAAACATCTTTAGTCCAGATAAATGACCAACCATCATATAGCACCAGGAATAATAATGGAGTTAAAATGTTCAATTCAGACCTTAGAAAAGGTTTAAGTGAAGCCTCACGCCAGATATGAAGTTCATGGGGATCAATGAAATGTAAGAGACTGTGCAATTATATTTCCTGACAATGAATTATAGGGACACAGTGTATGTGTTTAATACCAGCTTATCACCTTATATAGAGAAGTTCTCCAAATGTGAGTAATATGAAGAAGACTGATCACCAGAATAAAGCAGGATTTTTTTTTTAATAAAGAACTCCAAACCCTAATGGAAATGTGGAGATCTGAAAGAGATTGTGCTAGACTATTCTCTTAAAATGCCCCTACCCACCATAGCCTGGTGTAAATTGCAAGAGCTGAGATTTCAAATGGTTTCAAGCAAAAAAAAAAAAAAAAGGAAAAAAAACCAACAAAAAACCAAAAATATATCTCAGGAATAGTTTAGGACTAACAAAACATCACTGTGTTTGTGCTCAGTACTACAAATATGCACAAAATGAAATGTGGCAGATCAGTTTTCCTGATGGAGGAGTTAGAATGTTAATCACATGAACATGACATGCATGTATGTAGGAGAACAAGAAATCTATCTTAGAACCACTCTTTAATTTAACCCACAGTTTCAAATAGTATGGCAGCCTAGGCAGTATAATAGTAACAATTAGAGCTCCAGTTTTGGGGGTTTTTTTTCCTAAAACTTACCACAAATGAATGCATTTTGGGTAGGAGGCCTCTAAAGGGTGCATGCCACCCCACAGAGCACACCCTCAACCTTGTGCTCTGTGCTTACTCCTTATTCTTCCTGCAGCTGCGAGCACTGAGAGCTGTGGTTGCCTCTGTCAGCATTCCTGGTACAAAGCTGCCCAGACTGATCTGAAAGGAGGTGGCCCTGGGGCACTTGAGAGGCCACTGGCCCAGTGCCTGTTACTGGAGAGAGCAGATAGCAGCGCCCAACCTGAAGGTGGCCATGGCCCCTCAGTGGGGCAGCAGCGTGTAAGCTCTGCTCTTCCTCCCACACCACTGTATCACTGCAGTCTTCTGTTTCTTAAATGGTCTAATAGACTGAAGAATGCTTTTCTTATCACATCTGAAACTTCATAAGATGTCACTCCTCATGACAGGCTGTGCTGCCACTGTGAAGAAAGCACAGGGTTTGCTTCTCCACTGTGGACAAAGACATGCTGTGCCACTCAGCAGGACTCTGTATGACAATAACCTGCTCTTAAGATAGAAACCAACAACACCCCATCAGCTTCAGTTATCAGGATTCAAGGGTAATAAACATTAGAAAAGTGTTTTGGCTTGGCAGTGAGATTTGGAATCTTGGCTTCTCAGTAATTAAAATTAAATCTACTTAAAAAAAATACACACAAAAATCCCCACAAAACACACCAGTTCAGAAAACAGTCCCAAGGCTGAAATGTGCTAGCAAACCACCTAGTTTCACTGGCTTTCTTTGAAACAGAGCTTTCAAACAGTATAGCTAGTATCGGTGGATCAAGCACATTACAATTCCGGTGTTTTCAACATGCTTGAAAGCACTTTCTGCAGAGCTCAGTACCCTTGCACTGACTTGAGGCTGCTCAGCTGGCACTGCTGCCCAGCCAGTTCCACAGACCTGACAGAAAATATCTCTGCCCACTGAATTCACCTGGTCAGCCATGCTGTAACACCTTCCACTGAGCTCAGGACATCACCCCCAGTCAGGTCTGCAGAGAAGAAGCTTTTTCATGATTTCCCAAGCTACTTTGGAAAATAATGGAAAAACAGCTGGAGTAGTTTCTTTCCTTTCAGACTTTTTAATTACAATCTACACACAGAGGAAGCTGTTCAGTTATCGAAAGCACAGTGGTAGAAATTTAGGTCATTTTTTTTCAGTTATCAGGTGCATACAAATGAACACAAAAATTGAACATAAAAAATAGATTGCTTTTCCAGAGCTTATATATTCAGGGTTATATTTCCTGCCTTTCCACCCTGTTTTATCCAACCTTTAAAATGCATTTAGTAATTCAGCTGTACTTATGTTCAATTTGAAGCAATTACTGTAATACAGCAGCATGAATATATATGCATTTCCAGAATTGCAGATACTCTTTTCAGTTGCAGGGGAACAAGAGAGATGGGCAAAAAAGCAGGTAGGCCTTTCAAATAATTTTTGCAATGAATTTCAGAGAGGTAAAAATAGGACAGAGAGGGTTTGATCCTCAGCCTCTCTATTAGTGGGTTGTGGATACATCTGGGTTGTCCCTTGAAGGCTGTGCCCACATCTGCCATAGAGAGGAAACAGACCATATCTGCAGACAATGCAAGAGTGGTGTCTGGTAGCAGCACGAGGGCATCCCTTTGTTGCCCACATTTCACTCATGTGAATCTCTACCTCTCCCCAGCTTTCTGCTCAAAGATCTGCAGCTGTAGTACACGATATTCATAAATGACTACATCAAAAAAAAAAAAAATTGGAGAAAATATTTCTTATGTGTGTATGAAATGGCCAGAGACTCGCTGGTGGTATTTGAATGCAATATTCAGGATATGAAGTTCTACCCCCTGTGACTCATGCAATTTGCTCTGCACCTCACACTTTTCAAGTTTCACAGTTTTTTGAATAGCTCTGGCTCAGATCAGCTGAGCGCATGAGAAATACAAAAGGCTGAGCAACACAGCTGGGTACAAAGCAGCTGCAAAAATGAGCCCAGCAAAGAGTGTGGTGATTTGATTTTCTGAATGAAGAAACATTTTCCCACTACTCTGTTTAATTCACTTAAAGAGAACCAGAATACAATCCTTCCATGTGTATTATTGTTCCAAATAACTTCCAAGAAGACTGTCAGAAAATCTTGATAGAAATAAATTGTTTATGTTGTAGGTCCTGGCATTTCTGCTAGATAACTCTCATATGGAATGAAAGTCTCTGAGAACAATGATGTTATTTATCCAAAGTAATTTATAGGAAATACCACTATTTTCACTGAGATTTGATTTCTAACCCATCAGGGATGGATGTACATCATGCACACCTGTAAATAGACATTTCCTTTTATTTTCAGGCAGTTGAGAGGGGAAGAACATTTGAATTAACGCTAAAGCAGGGTAGCAATGATGTTTGTAGGAGAAAGATACTTTTCATTTCTGGAAGGTTTAGCTTGCTAATTTTCTCTGTGTCCTCAGAGGATTTAAACATAAAGACACTTAGAGCAAGCACCAACAAGCAGATTTCTTCTCCTGCTCCTTTCCAGGTACATGCTATAATAGCTACCTATTCATCAACTTCATTCTTTCAGTGACAGGAAGCTCTCCTTGAGAAAGCAGGAAAATTGGGCTCAGAACCCTGTTGAAAGCACTAAGTGTGTACTTTCCTACAGCCTTTTTCTTGTCTTATTGTCTGGGAAGAACCCTGGGCAGCTTGGTGCTTAGCTTCTTCCTCTGTGAGTCAGAGACAGTCTGAACTTCTGCAAT